CACTTGATAGCCAGTTCCTGATCTCTCCAAGCTCCTCTAAGAATCACGAAGTAGACTTGTTTGATAATCAGTAACTGATCACAATCCCGTGATACATCAATGTGGTAATTATGTGGATTTAAAGGCCCAAGGCTTTTACAGAGTTACTCTTCCTCACAGCTCACAATGCATGTTGTGACTGAAATTTGACTACCTACTGAACAAGCTCAAAACCTCCTATCTCGTGACCAGCGATTTTTCTAACCTCTGAACCGTTAGATTCTTTTATGCATATAATGAAGACGTATGAATTGACTCTTCATCGTTGGATCTAGCTTTCGATGCAGTCAATGAATGTTGACATCCAATCAACTTCACATGAAAGGTGCCATCTATTTTTCATTATGTTACCGTGGCAATATCCTGGTATTGTAGAGGATATTGTAGCTGTAACATAAGCTCTACGTGTCGTTGGTATGTTGACCCGTCTTCAACTATTGAGCTACTGAGCTCCGTCGTCGCATTTCTACCCAGGAAGGTAGATACTCAGGCTTAGGAAAAATGTATGGTTCAGTCCATTTATTTTGTAATCGGCTTATTCTTAAGAAAATAAGTTTAGGGATGACGAGACTTGCTTGTAGGGGATATTGTGCACATGTGAGGATCGAAAATCTATACTTCAGCAACTGCCAATATAATTGATACGGAAAGATCTCTTTTAGGATGGGGAAGGTAGAACCTTCATTCAAGCAGTACTAGCTAGTGGGCCAGATGTTTTCAGTTCTTTTCAGCTGTCACTGCAAAGAGATCAAGGCCAGTTCCTTGCACACTCTGGGGTCGCGGTGGCGTTTTTCGTGCAGTAGTCGTAGATCACGTAGTTCTCTTTGACCCACCTGAGATCGGCAATTTGTGTCTGCGAGAGTGCAAGGTTAGGAGCTCGACCGTATGAGCTTTGGTACACCTTTCTGTAGCATGCGTGAAGGTCATCGGTGCCGGTGGTGTTGTGAACTTCGCATGCGTTGGAAACATTCCATCCGGTGTAGGATGCGATGAACGGTGCCTGAGTCCAGTCCACCTTGATTCGCCCCCCTTCAGTTGCCCAAGCTTCTCCATTCCAGATGCTGGCGATGGCGTACATGGGCTGATAATCAAGGTATAGAAGCCCCAGGTCTGTTGCGTTATGGAACACTCGGATGACACGGTTGTCCACCCAAAATCTGCAAAACCACAACATTTCATCTTCACGTATGAATCCATGACCTTTGATTATCGTAGGCTTCATGCCTTTCGGAAAGTCGAAACCAGAAATCTGAGATCCACGAGAAAATAATCTGAGCTCACCTCGGCACGATACTCACAAAATCAAATCCTGATTCCAGCGCAGCCCGCATTCATGAAAGTCGGCCGTAGGATCAAACCAAAGGTAGATCTGTTGTTCTCGCGCGCCGACTCCTTGAATATATACATTGGTTTGCAGTACATAGGGTTGTCCGGAGACGTTGCCCAGGAATTCAAAGTCTACTTCACACCATTATTTGTACATAGCTTGTGAAGACATCTGCAAATAATCAACAGTCAGAATCCTCAGATGCCAGGAGTGCGACCAAAGGATTGTATATTTTGAATAGGTTCAGAAACCAGTAAGCTATCATAGATATCAATGGCAGATACTAAAAAATATTAGCTCTTTACATATCGAACTACAATGCAACTTCATAAGTATCCAACCAAAAGATTGAGCATTTCCATGACCAAACGTCTGAAAAGATACTCAAGGAGATCATGAGACTCCGCTGAACAAGACAAAATGCGTAGGAGCCCCGCGCACGCTTACATAGAAAGTGGAGATAGTCCCAGAAGAGTTCCTCTTCACTAGCATCATCTTCATTGAAAACTCCCCGTACAGAAAAGGATCTAGTGATCGGAATCCAGAACCTGAAAGCAACGAATGGACTCAACACTTCCACAGCTCGAGATATATTTATTGCCGAAAATCAATGGTCTCATCGTTGAAGAAGGAAATGGTTAAGAGGAGACAGCTCCCGTGGCTGTGAGTTAACACACGGAATTCGTCCCGCTCTATGGATGTACTTCTATGGACGTTGAGCTGTATCAAAGACAGTCAAGACACTTTCCCTCTTATTTATGCAGAATGGTTACCTGTTCTGTTCGTGAGCTTGAGCGTCACAAGTGTCACCTGTACTATCAGTAGTAATATTTACATTTTGTTTACCAAAAGTTATATTGAAGTCGTCGCCAAACGTTGCAGCCTCTGCACCAGAGAAAAGCAGTGCTGTCAGAGAGAGCAGTGAAATAAGCTGCAACATCTTCATTTCTCTAAAGTACCGGAGACCACGACTGAGCTTCTTCTAACTAAACTGGTAACTTGTAGCTGCAGGACTATTCAAGCAGCCAGTCTGGGTACAATGCGAGAGTGCACTACAGATCTAGAATTGCTTCTTGAAAAGTTCTGCCAGCCATGGAACTCAAGAATGAGGCAAGACTTGAGTGTGCTAACAACGCTTGAGGTTGCACCTTATAAACACCCGATCGCTCAATTCTGGGAAGATCAAAGCTGTGCCACCGTCCATTGCCATTCACATGAACTGCTCTTCTTCAGAGTGACTTGCGCTCGGGACACCTCACCACAACTGTCGCGAGTCCAACGTTGGAGTACACTCTGAACTTTCTTGTTAACCGATTAAAGAACTGAAAATTACTTCAGCACTTTAAAATGCTGAGTAGGTCCTGGCCTGGATAACGCCAGCCCAGGATATAACATTTCCCCGACTGAGCGTGTTTTCTACCATACAGATTTTCCGGTCTTGTTTCACGTAATGAAGCACGAAGATTTTCATAACATGATCCAAACATTATCGTCACTAATAATTACAAGTCGTCCAGCTGACCCAGAGCTACTGGTTTGAGGTTATATAACTAATTGTAAATTTATGTCCCATACTTGACATTCAACGTGGAAGAAAATGAACTCCATAAAGTTCTTGGAGCATTCTTCAGTTTGCACCTGTGAGCAATTTCATACGTGCAAATTTGCCTATGAGAGTCAATCTCAGGCAAACACTATATCGAGCTGTTTGAACCATATGGCTGCCATTACACACGAGGGAAAACTGTTTGCAACCGAGCACAATCAGGTAGTCCCTTGCCTTTGCTTGACTTTTTTTAGCATCTCAGAAGCTAGAAGGCTCAAATGGCATGCTGACAATAACATGTAACTAGAAGAGGTGAGACAGAAACTATTTATTGATCAGAACATACGTTGAAAAGATGCGAGCATAGATAATCTGATTTCTGTTTCTAACGATGGTGATCTGATTGTGCATGAGGATCCATCCCGTACATCATGCTCTGCTTTGCTCATTTTCCATGCGCATCTGCACAGGTTGTTAAGACATCCTCGAAGACATGCTGATAACAGCACCATGGTGATTTACTGTGTGTGCAACTTGCAAGTCCACATTAAGAAGGTGCTTGCGATGCATGTTGCACGTGCTTGCTGTCTACCAGCGAATCGCCATAACCAGGTGCAGGTTAGCTTTCTCCATTTTAAAAATGACTGGATGAAATTTACTGTTGAATAAACTGCGAGGCAAGTTGAATTTCAACTTGCCAATATCATAAACTGGCTGGGAAACTAAGACTGACAGCTGACTAGGAAAAACTTTAAGGCATACTGAAGGCCAACATCCTCAAGCTCACTCACATACGATCCTCAATTTCAGTCCTGGTCACAACTCTCTTAAAATCCATGTATCATCAGCTGAGTCTATGTTTAACTCCAATAATGGAACAAATGTAAAACAATCTATGTATGAGCCATTCTGCGTGAGTCTGGATGAGCGATTGATGAACAATCTTCATTATGTTCCCGCTAGAAAGCAAGAAAATATTTTAAGGCTTCTATTGACTTGGCACTGATGCCTCTGGCGTCCTGCAATAGAGGCAGCAGTTTGTAACTTCATCCTTGCTGGAATTTGTGGGTATGTGGTCTCCAACTGAGATTATTGATCCAAAGTTCTCATATTGTAATTTCGTGAATATAAAAGTATGTTAATTCATAACCGTATCTAACTACACCAATGGTTAGTTGTTTATTTGATATAAATATATAAATCTAAAGGTTTGATTTGAGTAAATAATCTCCAGGTGGTCCTGGTCAGCCACCATTTGGGGCCAAAAAGGAACTTTTCTCATCAGCGCAAAACTCGTACGAAGTGCACAAGACGCAAAGCTGAAACAGTAACCTTTCCGCAGTCGAGAATCATCGCCGACTCTTTCTTGCTCGCATTGACTTGAGCAGCGTTCCTATTCCGCCCGTGAAATGATGATACCGTGACTTATCTTCAGCTGTAGACGTAAAATAACGTCATCCGGCACATTTGTAGGACGGTGATATGGGCACATGGCGTAAATCTCTGAACAAACATTCCTCAATTTCCATCAAGGCATGTTCATTTGTCGCCAATCATGTGCAACAGCCCGCTGGTGAATTATCAGATTGGATATCAGAGAGACCTCTCTCATCATTGACGGACAATCTCAATATTCAGATTTAGATAATCATCGACGAGCAGGCAAGCATGGATCAATGCAAAGGGTTCAAGCGCGTTGTATCCGTGAGGCTTTCAAAACTGTTGTCTTCGGATGACTGATTCAGGAGATCATCGCTTTCTGACTAAAGATAATTGAATGTGATTTCTTCTACCGCTATCAATAGTCCCGTTCAGCTGTAGCTCCAATCCTTTGCAATAAAGCTTGTCCTCACTCCCTTTCACGGTTCTCTCTCTGTTTATGTCTGGTAAATATCAGCGAATTTCGTCAGCTACGTGAGGAGCTCACTGACGACTGTGCATCCATCTTCTTGCATGACCAGTTCTTAGACTATACTTGCTGTGACGTCTAAAAATTTGCTTCTAGTATAGACACCCAGTAGAGCCAGATCATTTTAGCATGATAATATAATTCAGAAAGGAGGAGCGACGACATTATACATGTTTTGGTACATGTTCCTCACCTACTTATATTCACAGAATGAATACAAAAACAGTACATCTTCATTCCTAACTTGTCAAACTACGTCTGCTTCCACTTAATGCACGGAATAATTTTCTCATCCGTGTACATGCTTCTAAACCAGAAAGAAGCTGAAAGTCTAGCCGGCTTCAGCTTTCTCCTTCGTCCACGTAGTTGAACACTAGGAAATACTGTACAGTAAGGTTCATATCAGGTTTTTACAGTTCTGTATATTGCTATGGCAGATATATACTAACAAAAGGGGGCTCGCACGCAAGAGTTAAAAAACATGCTGCGGATTCACAAAGTTTTTATTTTTTATTTTTCTTAAGATCTGTTTTTTTCTCGGAACAAGACCGGTTCCTGAATTATTGCAGAAGATGTATTCTTTTCATCTTTTCAAAGCTGCACACATCTGAACTTCTCAAGGCCAGTTCCTGGTGCACTCTGGAGTTGCGGTCGCATTTTTGGTGCAGTAATCGTAAATCACGTAGTTTTTCCTAACCCATCTGAGATACTTGATTTGAGTCTTTGTGAGGGCGAGGTTAGGAGCTTGACCGTATGAACTCTTGTGCGCCTTCTCGTAGCAAGCATGCTGACCGGCCGTACCGGTGGAGTTCTGAACTTGGCATGAATCGGATACGTTCCACTGCGTGTACGAGGCGACGAACGGCTGCTGAGTCCAGTCAGTTTTGATGCGGCCGCCTTCAGTAGCCCAAGCTTCTCCGTTCCACAGGCTGCCGATGGCGTACATGGGCTGATAATCAAGGTAAGGGATCCCGAGGTCTGTGGCCTTATGGAACACTCGGATGGCTCGGTTGTCCACGAAAAACCTGCGCCGTATTTCTACCATTAATACCGTAAGCATCTAAGGATCCGCGTGTATGACTGCTGAGAAGAATATTTGGCCTCCTATTACCTCCATCGAATTGCTGTAATATCCTTTCCTGATCAGGCTATACCGAATATATGACCCAAACGCACATTTGGCACGGACAAATAGCAGAGGGTATGCTCAATTGAGCGCGATACTTACATAATCAGTTCCTGATTCCAGAGAAAACGATATGTATGATGCGCAGCTGTAGGATCGAACCAGAGGTAGATTTGTTGTTCGCGATTACCCACTCCTTGAATGTACACGTTGGTCTGCAGTGTATAGGGCTGTCCTGATACATTTCCCAGAAATTCGAAGTCTATTTCGCACCACTTTTTGTAATTATCTTGTGAGGACATCTGCAAAGAAACATCTGTCAACTTGGTCGAGGAATGCAAAGTATCGACGAGACAAATAATTCACACTGTTATTATACGCAGAGGCCTGATGAGGATAAAATTCAGAATCCTCATACATGTGCTACAATCAGGACATTTGACTTATTGAATGTAGGATCTACCTGTTGGTTGTATATAGAAAATGCGTGCATGTCGAGCCGCATTGGAGACATGTAAGTAAATTGGACTTGACAAGAGGTCAACAAGCTAATTCCTGGAAGTAGATCGATCAGCCAAAGCATCACATAAAAAATCAGAAGATCCATAAAACTGTAGGATTTGACTCACATAAAAGGCCGTGATGGTCCCGGAGGAGTTTCCTTTTATCAGCTTCATTTTCATTGAAAAGTGCCCGTACAAAAATGGTGATAGTGATCGAAATCCAGCTCCTCCTGAGATTAAATGCCCATAAAGTCATTCAGTACCATTCACCACCATTCCAAATCTCGGACCATCGTATGATGACTTCTAGAGCTCGTTTTCAGAGCTCTAGATTCATTGCAATACAGTTCGTGTATCTTCCATACTCACAAACACAGTTTTCGTGTCAACATCGCATGGTCTAACCAAGGTTTCAGATGTCCTAACATACTTCGTTACCTTTTTCTTTCGTCATCGTCAACGTCACCACGTCGCCTCTGCTGCTGCCTGTGATATTTACATTTTGTTTGCCCCAAGTCACGTTGAAGTCATTGGCAAACTTGGCCGCCTGAGCGCCTGAGAAAAGAAAAGCTGTAAAACAGAAAAGTGAGAGAATCATCTTCATTTTTATATCAATCTAAAGCTAAAGAATTTCTTCTAAACTAGATTGGTCGTTGCAGCTGCAGAGCTAATCAAGTAGCCAGTCTGATTCGTCGTGGGAGAACAGCACAGACTTGCTTCTTGAAAAGTGCTGAGCCAGACCTCAGGAATGCTGAAAGACCTGAGTTCTATGGAAGGCGTGGAAACCAGCAGCTTATAAACACCATAGATTGCATGATTTGCGAAGTATAAGGGCATGCCAGCGTCGTTTTCCTTCTGAATAATAATATCACAAAACGTGCTGCGTAATCAGCGTCACTCACGCTTGTACACCTCGCAAGTCTTGTGAATTGAGCCTCAGATAACATGCTGAGTTTCAAGGGCACCGCTGCAAGACATCACTGTGCATTAGAATGCTGATTCACAATGTATACATCGTAAACATCCGCATGATCATCTGGCGAGGTCAATGGGATCTTTAAGGATGTTCAGCTCTTATTCAGGTCTGTGTTTGCATCTTGATTTGATTCACATCTTACACCAGTTCACATATTGAACTTTACTGCTGTAATTATGAGAGTCAAGTGTTACAAGACCAACTTGGTGTATTCAGAATACAGCCCCAATAATAAACATAGGCTATAGGAAGGGCCCGCGTTAAGGACAGGGAAGGCACCTCCCTCGGTGCCTTTACAACTCGGATGTAGTAAATCAATTTGACATGTAGAGATAAAGCGATATATGCACCGGCTCATCTGTTTGTGAAGACCTATCATCGGACTGCTGGCACTTCTGAGACTGGTGTTGATCGTAGAATGAGGTTCTGAAATAACATTCCAACTTGCAAACATCTTGCAGCTCCTTCTTGAAATGTGCAGCTGCAGATTCTCAGCTGTCTGACGAAATTTCAATCATGCTGACGAAGAACACATGAAAAGCTCTCTTCTGTTGGTCATAGCATCACATACTTCTCCATGTTTTAGGATTGTGACGCGCAGTACACAGGAGTCAGCGGGTGCGAAAATCCGTGGAAGCCTTGTGATGGAGAACTGTTTATACACCCGATGATTATGGGGACTTATTTACCAAGTAGGCGACAATATTGAGATCGATGGTGAGGCAAAGTCGATGACGGGTGACACCGCGATCGGTCCATGCAAAGTCTGGAATGACGGAGCAACTTGTGAGGCTGCACTTTTAACTTTGTGCTTGCTATATCGTCCTACTGTATAATTTCAGAAGGTTTCAGATCATTCTCTAATGATTCGATGTTCAACTGAAAATTTTGGAATGATGCATAGCGGGGATGTTTACAACATTTTATGTTAACAATCTCATAAAAATATTGAAATGTAAAATACATTTTTCTAAATGAATACGAGTTTATTAAATAAATAATTTATAACTTCATGATTACGTGACAATTATTACACATGAAATTTTCTAGTAATGTTTTCAATATGTGAGATTCTTTTATTTGAAATTAGATTATATATATATAATTTGAAAATATTTAATTTTAATTATATATATTTTGAAAATTATAGATTGAGATTTATAATATATTAATTTTAATAGGTTCGATGATTCATTTGGATGTCATGTACCATTGTTAAATTCGAAATGTTGTTCCCTATCCGTTAAACTGTACCCCAACAAGCATGCGTTTTCTTTTAAACTAGGATTCGTGACACCGTGCAATAAATGAAGACTCGGGGTAGAGTTCGAAGATAGAAGTTACCATGATGAGTTGTATCCCATTTCATTTGCCATTGCAACACAATCATGTCATATACGCAGAACACGTATTTACTATCAACCTGAATTGTAAAAGTAGATGATTCCAACAGAAATTCTATTCACAGAACAGTGAACACATGAAATTTAGAGTCGACTAAGACCCTCCCGGATTATGGGATATTAGAAGAAACAAACACCGCTCGAATGTAAAGTAAGCATGAAGTAAGGGCAAGCTTACCTTTGGATTCTCCGTAAAGTTCATTTTCGCTGTAGAGCGGTTTGAAGCTCCTCCTTCATTTCTGATATCGTACCCGATGTATCACGTCATCGGAATCTTCATTCTTGTAGGTGATGTTTTCCTTTGGCATATTGCAGCGCTATATCCATTGCGTGGTAAATAAACACCAGGAGCTTCGAGATCATAATAGATTGATATAATTTTCTGAGAACTCGAAAATCTTTGGAGAAGAACACACATTCCGCAGGTACAACTTCACTTCGATATCGTGAGCTGGATTCTCAAAGCCTTAACAAGTAGCAGGTTCTGGTATTGTTCGAGTCCATCGAGACTGATTTCAAACTTCATGACCAGCGAAATATTATATGATAATAAAGAATCTCACACTTCCTGTACTGCATCATTGTGTACTATGGTCAATGACCGTAAGGAGAACTCGAGGAAAATTCCTCGCGCACTCCGAAACTGCGGTCTTGTTTTCGTGCAGATGTCGTAGATCATATAATCTCTCGTTCTAAGATCGTCAATTTGAGTCTGTGAAAGTGCAAGCTTCGAAGCTCGACAGTATATAACATAGTACAACTGCTTGTACGATGACACCGCGTAAACTGCAGTGGAGCAAAATTAGCTTCTACTCGTCTTGCCTAGTCGTCGCCATGTGACATGCACATCCACACCTTTCTTTTACACACCCCTGAGGATTTGCTAATGATCAATCTTCAGTCCACACACGGCGGAGACATGTATATGCGAAAATATCTGAATCAGAAGATTTCCTGCTGCTCCTGTCCTTTCGTTTAACTATTTTACTACTCGCTGACTAGAACGTGGTCAGAATGATGAGACCGTTTTCTAGTTTCATGTCAACTTGGAAACTTAAGCGAAAGACTTGAATAACCACAGATAGATGTTATACATAAATTTAGATTTTGCAACTTGCAATTTATGTCGCAGTTCTAATAGCCATGTTGTTTAATTGCCTTTTCAACTCACTAAATTCCAATTCGTAAGAAATGCCTATTCCATCCCAGGTTACTGTCACACATCCTCCAACCGGATCACTCTCCAATGGTTCACGTGCTGATAGGTGAAGTAGGGATTGAATGTTGTGATCTTGGAGAAGCCCAGAGATGGATCGAGAGGAATAGCGGATCCCTTTGGAGTGACCTCAAAAAATGGGTACCGAAAGATTCAGTACCGACGGAGGTCCTCCGTCGGTACTTCATCCTTGCTCCGGCACATGTCTTACAATGGATTAGCCCCAACCTGAAGGTCTGAAGATCTCGAAAAGTTATGAAGCTGGCTTATCATGAGTTACGGACAAGATCAGCTGCAAGATGTAAACGAACAAGTAGATTGCTTTTGGGTTTTTCCAGTCTTTATTTAATCAGATGAGACAAACACTCCAACAATATGTCAAGTTCTATTAGTACCTTAGATCGAAGTTGGACGATATTTATATATTTCAAATACCAAAACCAGCCAACACCTACTGTTTGCTCTTGCAAATTTTTGTTGTCTTTCGTAGTACAGACACCGCCAATAAATCCACAGGCCAACAAAACATGAGAATGAATAAGAGTATTAACCATTCCCACAAATAGGCTGGATGCTACTGAATCAGGTGAGTACTTTCTGGCTCTTGGCTTAGATGCCCTGTTACGCTGGCGTCTATTTGGCATAGGATTTGTGATAACATCACAAAAAGTCTATGACGGCTAGCTTTACCTCTGATGTCAATGCTCCAAAACAAAATTGCAATCATCCAGAGAGTATCAGAATGGTAGAGAATCATTGTTGATAAAACTCATGTGGACACTTTTGCAGGTTTTTGGTGAACAAGCGTGTCGTCCGCGTTTTCCATAACGCAACGGACCTGGGAATCCATAACAAGATTACAAGCCCATCTTCTTAAATCATAACCAACATCTGGAATGGAGACTCTTGGGCTACTCGAGGAGGCCACGACAACATTGTTTGGAGTCAGCAGCCTTTTGTCGCATAGTAGGCGATAGAATGTTTTCTAAAGCATGCAAAGTCCCTCCGATTTGCCTGCTTGTTACAGTGAATTGTACCGGAGTTCGTACCGGAACTCCGGAACTCGTTAGTTTACAGTTCACACGTGATATCATTTCCTTCTAAGCAACTGCCATTTTGGGATAAGTCTAGCCAATTAGAGTCGATAGTTTAATTGAACTTTTCTAAATATCAGTTTTTTGATACATATTTCAAACGAGCTCTTCATGTACATAGCCGCATATCTTAATGGCAGTGATGAGGTCGAGGTTTGACATGTGCTTGGAGAATATCATATATGCTCGTGCAAGATCAGGCCTCTCATATCCGGCCGCTCTTGTTAGCTTCAACACACTTTTCTTACTTTATGCTCGGATAGTATTCCTCGATCAGATCCTCTTCAACTACGGTTGGAATCAACATGAGTTTAAAGTCCTGGATTATGATCTTAAGGATCTTCCAGATGAGGCAGTGCATAGCTGACCTAAGCTTTCTGGATAAAAGCTTAGGTCTTGTTTGACTTCTATGCTTACGAAATGATGAATGGGGCCAATGGTTGTCGGTAAAAACTTAAAGTGCATCATGTAAAGGAGATTGCTCATGAGGTCACGTAAGCAGTTCCGTAAGATCACATGTATAAGATAAATTGAAAGATTCGGATGGTTGCATGACCAATGACCATCATTTTGCCATAAAGAGCACTGAGCAGTGGGTTTATGGAATTTTAGTGACGATGAGTAGTTAATCAATACTATCTTGTTAACGACTATTCAAGTCTGATGGGCATATGCTTGAGCTGGCAGATCTGTCCAATATGAGAGGGTGTCACAGCCTCAAAGAGTTCCATGTATATCTCCTCGATCAGTACTTTAGTATGGAAGCAGGTATCGAGTCCATCTGAAGAACGGATCGAGCTAGCAAGAAAGTGGTGGTCTTGTCCAATCCATGTACTTGCCATGGATAAAGTCTTGGGCAACAAAGTTAACATATAAACTTGTAGTTTTTTCATAAAGCAATGTTACGTTGGCACCGAATACTCTTGCATAGCTCCGAGGTTTAAAGTCAGACTGCTTTCAGACATTTTGATGGACTCCAGTACTATAATAACAAACAAAACAAAACAAAACCCGTTTCTTGTCAAGGCTTTTGCAACTGATAAAACTTGTACGTGCAGATTGTAGGATCTATTACACATAGTTTCAGGCTAGCAAAATATTGCGTTTTCAGCGAAATATTTCAGCAATATCGTTGTGCAGTATTGGCGATTCAGCTACATGCTCAGAAAATACGAGCGTCTTTCCAGATTTGACTTGAACATTAGATCCTTAAGGGACTTCAATCATGCAGAATGAACTAATGCATAACTTAAACTACAGTGTCATTTGTTGCTCTGGATTGCATACCTCTCCTGGACTGGTCGAATTGTGCGTTATCTGTCACCGAGTCCCCCCTACTGATCTGATTAGTGTCGCTTAGCTGGTAAAAAAGTCCCTAAAGGAAATGGGTTGTTAGAACAGTTCTCCAGTACGAGTTCCCTTGGGTCTTCCCTTAGCATCGTTATTCTAAAATATGGAAAAAATTGATGGTATGACTAACAGAAGAGAAGTTCTTGATTTTATTCGTTCGCATGATTGAAATTCAATCAGAGAGCTGCGTCTCTGCATTTAGGCCATTTTAAGAGGCGAAGGAAACTCAAGATGTTTGAAAGTTGGAATCAGGTTTCAGAGTCTTATTATCCGGTACACGTAAGTCTCAGAAAAGCTAGCATTCTGTTGATAGATCTTCATAGACAGATAATGAGATGTGTTTATCGCTGTATATCTCCAATTTTTTGTTCTCTTAATACACCGAACTGTTCTTCTATATCTTGACTTCCAAATTACATCAGATGAGTTCTTCTTAGTACTGGTGTGATATGTGAATCGAACCAAGATGAAAACACAGAATCGAATAAGAGCTAAGACATATTTTTGGCCATCCTACTGAAATCAGCGAGATAATCCTGATACTGTTTACCATGTAAATATTTTGAATTAGCCTTCTAATGGGCAGTGATGCTTTCCAGCATTGTCCTTGAAAATCATCTTGTTATTTTGAGGCTAAATTCACAAGGGTGGCGAGGTGTTCAAGCTGAAATGACGCTGATTACGCAGCACGTTTTGTCAACTTGTCATTCAGAAGAAAAATGACGCTGGCATGTCCTGATTCTATGCAAAATCATGCAATCTGTGGTGTTTATAAGCTGCAAGGTTCCAAAACTACCCAGAAGCTCAAGTCTTCGGACATTCTTGAGGTCTGACGCAGCAGTTCTCAAGAAGCAAGTCTGTGTCGCACTCCCGCGACGGATCAGACTGGCTACTTGATTATCTCTGCAGCTGCAATCACCAATCTAGCTTAGAAGAAACTCTTTAGCTTTAGATTGAAATAAAAAATGAAGATTGTTCTATACTTTTTATGTTTTACGGCTCTGCTTTTCTCAGGTGCTCAGGCGGCCAAGTTTGCAAATGACTTCAACGTGACTTGGGGCAAACAAAATGTAAACATTACAAGCGGCAGAAGAGGCGACGTGGTGACGTTGAAGCTCACTAAAGAGAAAGGTAATCAACTCTGTGAGAGTATCGAATTTTTGGTTAAAGTATGCGAGGATGAAAAATTTAATTTTGTGAAAACGGAAGTCACAGGAATCGTTTACTTATGAATCTCTAGCTCTCCAAGCGATGACATACTTTGGAAGACAATAGTGAGGTCGTGCGAGATTTGGAATGGTGATAATGAATGACTTGATGGGCGCTGTAAAATCAGGAGGAGCTGGATTTCGATCACTCTCGCCATTTTTGTATGGGCAGTTTTCGATGAAAATGAAGCTGATCAAGGGGAACTCCTCCGGGACTATAACGACCTTTTATGTGAGTTTACTCCTACAGCTCTTTTGCTCTCCTGATCTACTTTCAGTTATTACCTTGTTGAACTCTTGTCAAGTTCAATTTTCATCCACGTCTCTGTTGAGGTTCCAGAAGCACACATTTGTATATCCAACCAAAACGTAGATCCTGTATTCAATAAGTCCAATTTTATTAAAGTAGCACATATAGGAGGATTGAGAATTTTATCCTCAGTTTTTGTCTGCGGGTATTAAACATTGTGAGAAATTCACCTGCTAAACATTGACAGATGATTCTTTGCAGATGTCCTCACAAGACAATTACAAAAAGTGGTGCGAAATAGACTTTGAATTCCTGGGAAATGTCTCCGGACAGCCCTACGCACTACAGACCAACGTGTACATCCAAGGAGTGGGTAATCGCGAACAGCAAATCTACCTCTGGTTCGATCCCACGGCTGCGCATCATACATATCGGTTTCTCTGGAACCAGGAACTGATTTTGTAAGTATGGTGCTAATCTGATTACTATGTGCTAGATGTAAGTTTTGGGTCATAAATCCATATGGCCCGGTTATGAGGGACCGAATAGAAGGCCAGATATTCTACGCAGTCTTTTCCAAATACGCGGATCGTAGATTCTTCGTGTTTTAACGGTAGAAAAATGGCGCAGGTTCTTCGTGGACAACCGAGCCATCCGAGTGTTCCATAAGGCCACAGACCTCGGCATCTCTTACCTCGATTACCAGCCCATGTACGCCATCGGCAGCCTGTGGAATGGAGAAGCTTGGGCTACTGAAGGCGGCCGCGTCAAAATTGACTGGACTCAGCAGCCATTCGTCGCCTCATACACGCAGTGGAACGTTACCGACTCATGCAAAGTCCAGAACGCCACCGGTACGGCCGGTCAGCACGCTTGCTACAAGAAGGCGCACCAGAGTTCATACGGTCAAGCTCCTAACCTCGCCCTCTCAAAGACTCAGATCAAGAATCTCCGATGGGTTAGGAAGAACTACGTGATTTACGACTACTGCACCAAAAATGCGACCGCAACTCCAGAGTGTGCAAGGAACTGGCCTTGAGACTTTCAGATCTGCACGGCAGTGAAAGGATAAAAATGAGCATCTTCTGCAATAAATCAGGAACGGTCTTTGTTTCACGGAAAAAAATGAAATAGAAACTAAATAAAAGAAACATGTTGTGGATCGACAACAGGCTTTATAATGCCTGTGTGCGAACCTTCGAACTTTTCTGTACATTTCTGCTGTAGCAAAACACAGAACTGTTAAATTCTGATATGAACCTGATTGTATAGTATTATCTAGTACTCAACTACATGGAAGAAGGAGAAAGCTGAAGCCGGTTAGACTTTCAGCTTCTTTCCGGTTCTGAAGCATGTACATAGATAAAAGGATTATTTTGTGCATTATTGCACGCATACGTAGCTTGACAAACTTAGGAATCAAGATGTATTCTTTGTGTATTCATTCTTTGAATACAAGCAGGTGAGGAGCATTTTCCAAATAAAAAGTTCGGTTCAATGCGAATGCGAATTCAATGTCTACCGTCGTCGCTCTACATGTTCCCTTTAAAAGTATTTTGGAAGTTTGTGACATGAACAGAAATTGTCCCATGGCAAGTATTGTGTAATAACTGGTCATACATGGAGATTGTTGTCCATTAGTCAGTAAGTTCCATCACGGAGGTCACAGGATTCGCTGACAAGCGATTTCCAGATGTGACAGCGAGGGAGACGAGAAACATTTTGCAACGGGCTGCAGCTATAATTGCGCCTCCTTGTGTACCTTTGCGAAGAAATGTATAGGATGACAACGTATAGGATGGCCTCTGATATTCATAGTTTCTGGCTTTGTATAAGTTTACCGCTAAACGTCTCATATGTCTGATTCCTATCGAGTTTCTGCAATTCACATGAAAATTAGTGTTAACAAGATTTTAAGTAGTAGAATACATCACATTCTGTAATCTTTTGTCAAAAAGCTGTGATCTTCTTTATCATAGATTTGAGGACAACATTTGAGAATTTTTCACGGAAAACTCGCGCTGGAAATATTTGGAATCGATCCACACATGACTGTAAATCGATCATCATCATGAATATTCAAATTGCCCATCAATGATGAGAGACGTCAGATTAAGTTGTCATTGATATCTTATCTGATGATTGAGGAGCGGGTTGTTGCATATGATTGGCCATGAATAAACATGCCTTGATGGGAATAGACGAATGTTTTGTTCAGATATTCACGCCATGTGCCACAATCATCGTCTTACAATAAGTGCCGGATGACGTTAGTTTACACGGCGACATCAATCCACAGAGCGAGTTAGAACGAGATAGGAATGTGTACGCATATTTACTCATGTATACGCAAGGAGGAAATAGTCGGGAAGATTCTCGGCTGTGGAAAAGTCACTGTGTCAGATCCGTGTCTTGGGCACTTGGTACAAGTTCTGTGGAGATGAGAAAAGTTACACATTGGACACAGCCAAATGGAATCTGACATGGAGCACTTGGAGATAAGTTATCTCCAAGTGCTCCATCTCGTTTGAATCAGTTATCTCAGATTACTGATTCAAACGAGCCATAAGATGTATGTCGACCAAACACCTTCCCATTGGTGAAATGCCCTCATGAGGAGAATATTACATTGGCATACCTTTACATTCACGTAATAAAACGAGTTCAGAACTCTTGATAGTTGTCTTCATTAGGAGACAACCAAAAACAAATTGAAAAAAGATAAAATTATAAAATTGCACGTCCCAGGATCCCACGTTACGGGAGTTAGCACGGTTTGGAGTGTGAGCAAGAAGTGCTGGCATCCTGGCTTTCTATTTCTACACTGAGACCAGACTTCACTTCCAGCTTCGGGTACCTCTGGAGGCGGACTTTGAGAGCGCCACGTGTTCAGTATTCGGGCTTCAATGGCATAAGTATTGTAATCTCAGGCTTTACGCATATATTGTCCACAGCTGCACCTCCTGTCCCTTCGGGGACATCCAACAAAATTGGAACGATACAGAGAAGATTAGCATGGCCCCTGCGCAAGGATGACACGCACAAATCGAGAAATGGTCCAAATTTTTTTCGCATTTCCTCCCCCTTATTCCCTTCACCATTTCTCCACACCTCCACACCACGCCTTCCCACATTCCTCCACTTCCCTCCCCAATCTCATCGTCTTTCATCCAGGCAATTCTTCGCCCTTCTTACCTTGGACCCAGGTCTGCTCTTCGGTGTTCCATTCCTGTCCAACTTTTCCTTTTGTAATAGGACCTGTCCAACTTGAGCGCAAATGGAATGTGGACTGTTTGCTCCATTTCTGTAGGCGCATCAGAACTCAAAGGACTTGTAGGATTAGTATTTTCAGTGAAAATCTGCATAAAGCTAAGAAGTGAATCAATGAGATTTTATTCTTGGCGACAGAAAGCATTGTACTTGAACAAACTGAAATTAACATCACAACTACGATATCAGTATGGGATATGCGAATTTGCAGTGAGTCCATGTGGGGGAGAGAGGCTTTCGTTGGGGCTAAGGTGACCGAAGAACTGCGTCATATGAATTATGAATTACGCGAAAATGTGTGAAGAGCTTCTGTCGAGATAGCAATAAGAATAAGTGAGTGAACTATGTCTAGACGTAAGACTTCTGAAGATGCTTACGGTGAGCAAGGTAGAATCCATGGAGGAGCAAGAATTGCATGGAGGAGCATCCATCCCCTTACTTAGCAAGGAGAATCTGCCCACTCATCTTGGTAGCAGATTGCTTGGACTGATTTGCTAAGATTGAATATGTTTTGTCATGACATTTAGATTATGTTTGTTGAAAGTTGTGCACAGAAGTGCGCTAATGAGAAGTTACCATAAGCGGTAAGATTGCCAGTGCAACCGGGTGAGTAGATTGTAAGGTTATGGGCTAAGATTTTATGTTGCAACTACGATCATTGCAAACATGGAGTCCTCAGCGAAGGATATGCTTTCCACACAAGATTCAACTTCGAGGAATTTAGTTCAACTCAAGTCCAAAGAGTTAAAAGGAACAAATGACTACGGCATTGACTTGATTGAAGATGCATTAGAAGAAAGATTGTTTATAGTTTATATATGGAATCAGCAATTTTTGACAGAATGCAGCCATGTAATGCATATAGTGCTGTTGACTAAAGTCTTTGTGGCGAACCTACTTTCTTTGAAGAAAATCTTGTGAAGAATGTTCATTTTTTGGAAGATCATGAAGCTTAAGGTAGAAGGATTTTGACAATATCATCTAGAAAATATTGACAAAAATCATCTTTCAAATTTTGATATGATATGTACATTATTAATTAGGAAAAAATAACGATAAAGTAGAAAATCTTACAATACACGATAAACGGAAGTATCAACTTGAAGAAATCATGATGTTGAGAAGACTTAAAGAGATAAAAATTTTCTGATCTAAATCAGCTTTCAAGAATTGTCAAGATGTAGAAGAAAAGTGATTGTCTAAATATTGCTTGCTGACAAATTGATATATTTTTATTGAATTGCTTTTTGTGTAAGATGATTCATGTGTCATCTTTGTACAAGAATGATTGTCTACTCATTTATGATGAGCATCAAATATGTTCACTGCGATCATTTTGACGATTTCATAAATGTGCTATTTATTGAAATAAATTCCTTCAATAATGAAAATATTCATTTACATTCCTATAACACTTTCATACTTTCAAAATTTCAGATTTGAATCTATATTTTTTAACTACTTTTGATACTATTGTTCATAACTCAACTGTGTGTCATCTTTCAGCAATTGTAGTTTATTAATAATCATGAGAATTTGTCAAAATAACACAAGATAAAAGATTTGAATGGTTGTAAATTGAGCACTGAATAGTTATACCAAGTTATAGTTATAATGTTAGGCTATATTTTTTATTTTTTATTTTTTATGATTTATTTTTGCTAATGTTTTCACCTATATCTAAGTTGTATGCTTGAATTTAATTCAATACTTGAAATTGGGTAAGAGGTGAATTGTTTTCACAAGAGTTCAAAATTGCTCTGTTCACTTACATTGGTTTGAAGTTTGTAACAATGATCACTATGACAGCTTTTTTTGATATTTAGGAGAGATCTGAAAATCTGATAAGAGGAAAAGCGGATACTAAATGACAAGGTAAGAAAGACACGATTAGATCGTTAGAAAACTAGACCAATTGATTAGATTTGGCGCGTAATTTTGAGGGCGAAATTTAGATCTAGTGCATGGTTAGAGTGTTGCAAAGAGTCAGCTTCTTGAGATCTTTCTTGGCTTTACGAAGAAAGGATCGAAGTGTCTTCCGGACACGGACACGAAGAACAAGGTACTCTCCGCAAACGAAGAGCGTTGAGAGCCTTCCGGAATGTGAGACACTCTGCCATTTCTTTAGCCTTTTCAAGCCTATTATGGAAGCAAAGGCAAAGACAAACAAGCAATTCACTCGTCGTGTGAATGCGGACAGACAGGATACATTTCTCTAATTTGATTAAGAAAACATGCCCTACGTTGGAGTTCGGTTCAATTAAACGAATTTTGATTGCGGAGTGAAGAGTCAAAGTCTGTGTACGTAATCAAATTTATGGAATTATATTAGCTAACACGACATTAATACAGTGGTTATTTCTTGTCTTACCGAAGTGCATTTCTGAAATACTTTTTCAAAGATATACTAGAAATTTAATAATCAGTTGTAGTTGTGATGATTTCAATACTGTTGGATTTACAAGTTAGCTGAAATATAGCGTATAGTTGAAACATTCATGGATTTCAAAAATGTGTCTGAAGCATGTGAAATGCTTTTGTTTTTCGAAAACATATTACGATAAGACAGAAATTATATATAAAGTTTGGTTAGCATTTAAGCATCCAATCCATGGATGTAACAAGCTTCCTAACAACAAACAAACGGTTGCAAACAGAGGGATGAGAAGTAAAGAGAGTTCGATATACAGAGAGAATATCAAAGAATCGTATCGCTCCCATTACAAGAGTGAAGCAATATCCGATAACATTGGTAGATCTGAAGCCAAGTTTGATATGGATGTGGAGGTGCCAGCTAGGATGTAAACTTTGGCCACAAAAAGATGTGACTAGTTTCTAAAGGGGATACACAACGCTTAAACCCACGAGAAATCTTGGGGAACCAAGGATCGAAAAATGCGCATGTACGAGGCGTTGAGTTCAGATTCCAAGGAAATAATCAGGCTACATCCTCGAAACTTCAAGGAACACATGAGATTACATTTCAAGAGATGTGGATATTTGTGAGAAAAGGATTAGGATCGTGGTATTTCTGACTTGCAAGCGCTCAGTGATGAAGTCGCAAACCTTAATTACAATACGACTGATTTTAAGGGTCCGTAGTCGTTCATCTGCAAATATGACCTCATCTCCCTGTGATTGGTTTGCTAATCTGGAACGAACATCGCAACGAACCTTAAGACGTCAATGTCAATCTGGACCTTCCGTTGCACTCCCATGCCTCTAATGCAGGACGCCAGTCGCATCTCCAACTTATGTTCTATCTTAAAAGGAAATTCTCAAGCACATGGTTTACAAATTTCTTCTATATTCGTCATCGCCAAGTCGTCTAACTATTGTAAATCTGACACTTTTCTTGGCATATCATATTTCTCCTATACTGTTATTTCTCATCTATGTAGCTAAAAGATCAGTGGCGAGTCAATAGAGCTTTGATAGATCTTCTTGCTTTCAAGTGGGAAAAGCGTGAGAGAGTTCATCCATCGATCATCCAGATCTAACGCAGAGTAATGCACAGTAACGCAATGCGGGTAGAAGACAGCTCAAAAAGCAAATGCCCGTCTGTAATTGATGGGATAGGATCTTGTGATTGACACCGAAAGGTCGCAGGCTTGAGCATGTGTGAATGCCTCATACACCCATTGTTTTACTTTTATTCCATGCATACAGTTAAAAGTAACTGAGGGTATGATAAGTGAATCCAAGGGATTTGTGACGAGTACTGAATCAAGGATCTAATTTTAGTCGGCTTGAGGATGTTGGCCTCGAGTATTTAAATTTTCCTACTGAGTTTTCTGACTTAGTTTCTTAGTCAGCTTTCTGAGATTGGAAAATTGAGATGCAAGTTGCCTGGCACACTACTTTTGAGTAAATATCATCTTTCAACCACTGTGTTGTGGAATGTAGAAAGCGAACATCCATCCGGTTCTCGCGATACGCTGGTAGGCAGCAGGCACTAACTTCGTGCATCACATGCAACAATTGAATGTGGACCTGCTAGTTGCACAAACAGCGACACCATGAGGGTGTGTTAACAACTTGTGCAGATGCGCATGGACAATGGGCAAAGCAGCTTACGATATGCCGTATATCCTCACATACAATCCCATCACCGTTTGGACCAGAAATCAGACTTTCTACGTTTCAGAGTATGTTGTGATCATTACATATTTACATGTTATTGTTAGCATGCCATTTGAGCCTTCTAGCTTCTGAGATGCTAAGTAGTCAAGCAAATGCAAGGGGTTAGATGATTGTGCTCAGTAGCAGAAAAGTGTCAATAGTATGCCTATGGCAGCCATATGGTTCGATCGAGCAGCTCTATACAGTGTTTATATGACGGAGTGACTGTAATATGGCATGAAATCGCTCATATGGGCAGAGTAAAAAATGCTCCAGAATGCCATAGAGACTCCAAATTTCTACGACGTTGAATGTTGAGTATGAGACATATATTCGAATTGGTTAATTTACTTCGAACCAGTAGCTCTGGATCAGCTTTAAAAGTTGGAATTGTTTCTGACGACAATATTTGCATCATTTTATGACAATCCTAGGATTCTATATCAGGAACGGAAACTCTTTGGTATGATGCAAACTCGCTAAATCGGGAAACGTTGGATCATGAGCTGATGTTTGAAAATGGCGACAACATTTAAAACTATTGAAATAATATCCACTTTTCTCGGATAAGATGAAAGATCAGAGTGTACTGCAAGGTTGGACTCGCGACAGTTGTGGTGAGGTGTCCCGAGCGCAAGTCACTCTGAAGAAGAGCAGTTCATGTGATTGGCAATGGACGGTGGCACAGCTTTGATCTTCCCAGAATTAAGCGATTGGGTGTTTATAAGTTGCAAGTTCAAGCGTTGTTAGCACACTCAAGTTTTGCCTCATTCTTGAGTTCCATGGCTGGCAGAACTTTTCAAGAAGCAAGTCTAGATCTGTAGTGCATTCTCGCATTGTACCCAGACTGGCTGCTTGAATAGTCCTGCAGCTGCAAATTACCAGTTTAGTTAGAAGAAGCTCAGTCGTGGTCTCCGGTACTTTAGAGATATGAAGATGTTGGAGCTAATTTCATTGCCCTCTCTAACAGCACTGCTTTTCTCCGGTGCAGAGGCTGCAACGTTTGGCGACGACTTCAATATAACTTTTGGTAAACAAAATGTAAATATTACTACCGATAGTACAGGTGACACTGTGACACTCAAGCTCACGAACAGAACAGGTAACCATTCTGCATAAATAAGAGAGAAAGTGTCTTGACTGTCTTTGATACAGCTCAACGTCCATAGAAGTACTACCATAGAGCGGGACGAATTCCGCGTGTTAACTCACAGCCACGGGAGCTGTCTCCTCTTAACTATTTCCTTCTTCAACGATGAGACCATTGAGTTTCGGCAATAAATATATCTCGAGCTGTGGAAGTGTTGAGTCCATTCGTTGCTTTCAGGTTCTGGATTCCGATCACTAGATCCTTTTCTGTACGGGGAGTTTTCAATGAAGATGATGCTAGTGAAGGGTAACTCTTCTGGGACTATCTCCACTTTCTATGTAAGCGTGCGCGGGGCTCCTACGCATTTTGTCTTGTTCAGTGGAGTCTCATGATCTCCTTGAGTATCTTTTCAGGCGTTTGGTCATGGAAATGCTCAATCTTCTGGTTGGATATTTATGAAGTTGCATTGTAGTTCGATATTTAAAGAGCTTATATCTGATAGTATCTACCATTGATTTCTATGATAGCTTCCGGATTATACAATTCTTTGGTTGCACTCCTGGATTCTGACGATTGATTATTTGCAGATGTCTTCACAAGCTATGTTCAAAAAATGGTGTGAAGTAGACTTTGAATTCCTGGGCAACGTCTCCGGACAACCCTATGTACTGCAAACCAATGTATATATTCAAGGAGTCGGCGCACGAGAACAACAGATCTACCTTTGGTTTGATCCTACGGCCGACTTTCATGAATACGGGCTGCGCTGGAATCAGGATTTGATTTTGTGAGTATCGTGCCGAAGTGAGCTCAGATGATTTTCTCGTTGACGTGTTTCTGGTTTCGAATTTTCGAAAGGCATGAAGCCTACGGATAATCAAAGGTTATGTATTCATACGTGAAGTTGAAATGTTGTGGTTTTGCAGATTTTGGGTGGACAACCGTGTCATCCGAGTGTTCCATAACGCAACAGACCTGGGGCTTCTATACCTTGATTATCAGCCCATGTACGCCATCGCCAGCATCTGGAATGGAGAAGCTTGGGCAACTGAAGGGGGGCGAATCAAGGTGGACTGGACTCAGGCACCGTTCATCCCATCCTACACCGGATGGAATGTTTCCAACGCATGCAAAGTACACAACACCACCGGCACCGATGACCTTCACGCATGCTACAGAAAGGTGTACCAAAGCTCATACGGTCGAGCTCCTAACCTTGCACTCTCGCAGACACAAATTGCCGATCTCAGGTGGGTCAAACAGAACTACGTGATCTACGACTACTGCACGAAAAACGCCACCGCGACCCCAGAGTGTGCAAGGAACTGGCCTTGATCTCTTTGCAGTGACAGCTGAAAAGAACTGAAAACATCTGGCCCACTAGCTAGTACTGCTTGAATGAAGGTTCTACTTTCCCCATCCTAAAATATATCTTTCCGGATCAATTACATTGGCAGTTGCTGAAGTATAGATTTTCGATCCTCATAGGTGCATAATATCCCCACGAGCAAGTCTCGTCATCCCTAGACTTATTTTCATAAGAATAAACCGATTACAAAAAAACTCGATTGAACCACACCTGTTTCCTAAGCCTGAGTGTCCACCTTCATGGGTAGAAATGCGTCGAAGGAGCTCAGTAGCTCAATAGGTGAAGACGGGTCAACATAATAACGACATGTATAGTTTATATTACAGTTACAATATCTTCTACAATACCAGGATATTGTCACTTTAAAATGAAGAAAAATAGATGCCACCGTTCATGTGAAGTTGATTGGATGTCAACATTCATGTACTGCATCGAAAGCTTGGTCCAACGATGAAAAATAGATTATACGTCTTCGTTCTGTGCTTAGAAGAATCTAACGGTTCAGAGGTTATGAAAATCGCTGGTCATGAGATAGGAGGTTTTGAGCTTGTTTAGTAGGAACTTCAAATTTTAGTAAGAACATGCATTGTGAGTTGTGAGTTTTAAGAATTCTGTAAAAGCCTTCGGCTTAAAATCTACTTCAATACCACATTGACACAATACGGCCAATTTATGTGATCAGTTACTGATTTTCAATATACTTCGTGATTATTAGAGGGGCTTGGAGAGAACAGGAACTGGCAATCTCGTGATGATTTGCATAGTAACTTCAGACTTGTCCAGCTTTTGGTTTATATGTTCCTTTTTTTCTGCGATCAGTGGCACATATTGGTCAACGAAAACACCTTTTTTAAATTCACCTTTGACGAACCAAACTCCACATCGATTCCTTATACCTACATCGATTCTCAATTCCATATGGAATGGATTGAGATAGGACACCCTTTCCCTAGAATGCGCAGGGGGTAAAGTCACCATAGATTCTTATTACTTTCGAACACCGAGCTTTCAGCAGATTTGTCAAAGTATTTAAATTGAAGTCGAAATCTCTGACTCTGCATCGGTCAATGTCGTCTAATTTTCTCTTCCCAGCAGTCTATTTGAGACATTGATTCTTCTCCACGTCCGCTCTCGAGTCATAAACTCGATAGTGGTCAAACACAATCCATCCCAAGTTTGTACAAGATTCAAACTACCACGTAGCTCGCTGAGCCTATGAAGGTCGCTTATAAGCAACAATAAATTCCTACTGTCCACGTACAGGATCTATCAGTTCAAGTCGGCGGTTGACAGGAGCGTTTTCGTTAGTGTAAATCTCAATCTTCACAATATATTAAAGGAATAAAGCTTTGACGCAGAAGAAGTTTCCCTGTTCTGGACAGTGTATTCATGAAACAGAGGGGACGGAAGCGCGGATGGCCACACTTTGCTCTTTATCTTCTCCTGCATAACCTTCGGCTTATGGAACTGGAGGCAACTGGTGGTTAACAGTGGATTATGAGCAGGAGCACAATTTTAGGCTTTAGCAAGGTCCTGTTGAAGCACTTGCTTCTGCAATACGGAGATGGAAAGCAGCACCTTCTCCAGTCAAAGTGGCTCCACTGATTCTTACTCTTGATAGAGATTCCACCTCTGTCTCGGTAAATTAGCGTTCGTCCTTAAAAGCCTGCTCAAGTTTAATTCGGTCTTCCCATAATCTATGGCTGACGAGATCTTGGATCATACTACAATAGAGAAACGCTTCGGATGTTGATGAAACTGTCAAGACTTGGCAAATCGAGAAATTAATTCTTCTGGCGGTGACGTGAACTTTATTGAATCTTGAAAAGGAGATTCCTATAGTCCTAGAAATCTGCACATGCTACTCTACCACCTTTTTTATCTTATAGAGTTACTTCGGAAATTTTATTTACGAGCTAGACATTCACGTTGAAAATTATCTGCACTGAAGCAGCTGTTTGTGTATTTTCCACTATTGGCTGATCCTCATACGCCTCACGCCGGAGAGCAGGGACTGCCAGAAAAACACCCCGAGCCATTTGATAACACTATGTCAGAAAAAAGGGAAAACCAAGGGAGAAAATTACCAAGTGCACTTTGATACTCAGCCTTCTTAAGAGGAATGCCTTTAACAATCAGAATCCCATTCGTGGTCCTAATTTCTGGAGTTTCAAGATATGCAAGTTGTAATTGTGTTGTTCCGAGCGGGATAATAGCTGAGACCCTCCCCCACCTTGTAAAGTCATCCTTTGCACGAGAACGGTCTACTCGAGCATCAGTCGGCCCACATCAAGCAAAGAAACCAGTTAGCTGGGGTGCATATAAGCTGCAAGTTCCGGAAACTACCGCAGAACTCAAGTCTTCGGACATTCTTGAAGTCTGATGCAGCACTTCTCAAGAAGCAAGTTTGTGTCGTACTTCCGCGACGGATCAGACTGGCTACTTGATTAGCTCTGCAGCTGCAACCACCAATCTAGCTTAGAAGAAACTCTTTAGCTTTAGATTGAAATAAAATGGAGATGATTCTCTCGCTTTTGTGTTTTACGACTCTGCTTTTCTCAGGTGCTCAGGCGGCCAAGTTTGCAAACGACTTCAACGTGACTTGGGGCAAAGAGAATGTAAACATTACAAGCAGCAGAAGAGGCGACGTTGTGACGTTGAAGCTTACTAGAGAAAAAGGTATCAAACTCTGTTTCTGTACCTTCAGAAGCGAATTTAGAGCATCGTTTGAAGTGTGCCATGTTACTAAAGTTGTTTGTGTTAAAATGGAAGATACACGAGCTGTATTGTATTGAATCTAAAACTCTGAGAGCGAAGAAATATTTTTTAATAATCCATTACAGTGGAGTCTTGATTCTGATGAGTTTCATCTGCATGGTAATTTCAGGAGGAGCTGGATTTCGATCACTGTCACCATTTTTGTACGGGCACTTTTCAATGAAAATGAAGCTGATCAAAGGAAACTCCTCAGGGACTATAACGACCTTTTATGTGAGTCTAGCCAGGATCGCCTCTACATGCATACTAATTTTCTGAATTTTTTTTATCTCACTACGTTGATCTCTCTGGAAGATGCGGTGCGGTGCTTCTATAATTTAGCCTCTTCATCTCTTGTGGAATTCTAATTCCTTCCATGTCACTGGTAGCAATTTTATTGCTAGCAGGAGCAATATATATATTAGTAATAGACTTGGTCAAGGTAAAACCAAAACGCAGATATTAGGCCCACTGTCATTTTAAGAACACAGATTTTGCCCTCACCTGGCCTATGCGTATGTTTAACGGTGTGCGATAGTCGTCCGATCGACGACTTGCAAGTCTCGACAACTTTGACAGATGATTCTTTGCAGATGTCCTCACAAGACAATTACAAAAAGTGGTGCGAAATAGACTTCGAATTCCTAGGAAACGTCTCCGGACAGCCCTACGCACTGCAGACCAACGTGTACATCCAAGGAGTGGGTAATCGCGAACAACGAATCTACCTCTGGTTCGATCCTACAGCTACGCATCATACATACCGGTTTCTCTGGAATCAAGAGCTGATATTGTAAGTATCATTCGAAACTGAGCACAAATTGTGCTTGTTGTTGACGCCGAGTCTGTGTATGGGTCATAAAAATCTGCATGGCCTGTTCATGAAAGGATAAATATTAGATCGAAGGAACAGAAGGCCTTATATTCTACGCAGTCTTTTCCAAATATGCGGATCAGTAAATTCTTCGCGTTTTAATAGTAGAAATACGGCGCAGGTTTTTCGTGGACAACCGAGCCATCCGAGTGTTCCATAAGGCCACAGACCTCGGAATCCCTTACCTCGATTACCAGCCCATGTACGCCATCAACAGCCTGTGGAATGGAGAAGCTTGGGCCACTCAAGGCGGCCGTGTCAAAATTGACTGGACTCAGCAGCCGTTCGTCGCCTCGTACACGGAGTGGAATGTTTCTGACGCATGCAAAGTCCAGAACGCCACCGGTACAGCCGGTCAGCACGCTTGCTACAAAAAGGCCTACCAGAGTTCATATGGTCGAGCTCCTAACCTCGCCCTCACAAAGACTCAAGTTCAGAATCTCCGATGGGTTAGGAAGAACTACGTAATTTACGATTACTGCACAAAAAATGCTACCGCAACTGCAGAATGTGCTAGAAACTGGCCTTGAGATCTGTGCAGTATTGAAATGGAATATTGATCAATACATCTACGCTCGCTACAGCTTTGGAAGTCTCCTCCTTAAACAAAAAAATTGGGAAAAGGAAAAATAGAATGCACTCATAAATGTTATCTTGTAGAGGGAGATTTTCTAGATATATAATGGATCCGCAATCTTGTACAGAAGAATTGTGTGCCAGCATTGTTGTCTCCGGATAAATGAGTTTTATCAACGAACTGGACTTTAAACAGCTGATATGAACCTTTACCTCAGATCCTTAGCCTGAATGACCAGATTATGATGTTCAGCTACGATCAAGGAACTCAGGAGTTTCAAACTTCTAGCGGTAGTGTAGTAGCGGTTGTACAGCGATGACACAGGTTCATGCTAAATTACGAAGTGTACACAAAGTGTATTCGTATACTTGTACAGATACTTGTGAAGGGAAGAAGTTACGAGGAATACTTCATATTACGTATTTAATAGAGAAATTGAATTAATTCGATAATATATACATGTTTGTGGACATACAATTATCTCTAAAAAAAATAATTAGCGTAACAGGGAGCCGGAATCGCTCATACTCTTCAGAAAGTGAAGTCTCATGGTCTTCTCGAGTAGATTGGAATTCTTTTGGGAAGTGTATGAAATCCCTGTCGAGATCGCTTCGAGCAACTTCCGATTTCCTAATTCCTTTGAAGGTCTTACAATCATATGTCACACAAAAGACACGAGTATGCAGCCCGAAACTGCGGCAGAGATGGCCTGACGAGAAAATTCTCGGCTTCTCTCGGGGACTTGTCACATGCTTATGGCAGCTTGTTAGAAAACATGAATTGTAGCATTTACGACTACCTCACGAGGATTGCAAAAGCCAAATTTGAGGCCCAGGAAGTAAGATAGCGATAGTCAATCTTGCTGCAGTTTTACACTACTTCGAATGTCCCGCGACTCGACCGTATGACATCCATCTGCTCATAATCGGCCAACACTAAGGCTGAAGAATCCACGTTGCAGCAGCTTTGCCCAGATTTCGACTGACTGTGTACATGTTTATAAAATTCTGATTTACAAGTCGAGCAGTCACTTGACCACCACTCTTCACATCTTAGACATGCAGTTCCTTCAATCCGATACTCAGACTTTCAACCGTGAGCTTGCTCTACTTTTTCCCTGTCATTTCGGATGCACGGCTAGAAATGAAATAACACAAGTTCAGCAAATTGATCGTCTAGAGTCCGTCCTCATGACATGTCCTTACTTCATAATTTCAATGGAGGTGCTCCTTCAGGAACCTCTCCAAACATTGAGATAAGCAGCTTGTACCCCGCACACGATACTCTTTAGTGAAAGGCGAAAGAATGGTTCGCTCTGAGCTGAACACACAGCACGTACTTGCTCGCATACCAACAGACCTAACTGAAGCCCTTTGCATTCCCGCAAGCCTCTTCTTCTGCTCAAATCAGGATCACGGTGCTCCTCGTAAGCGTAATTTTTTGCTCCTTCAGATAAAGCCATACAAATAAGAGCTCTTTGGTTTCACTCTGTCGATTGAACGGAGACATTTGGGCTCATCTTAATCTTGCTATGAACCAAATTCTCTGCCCACACAGAAGTTCAATGTAACCTGATCACCGGTCTGTCAGTTGATGTTCTCGTCAACAGTGTCCAATTTCGTTGCTCTGATGATTGAGGGATCCATTCTCTTGTTGACTTCCAAGAGACGTCCAAATGACCTCCAACCGATCCACAGTTTCCTTGTGGTTTGAAGTTATAACAAGGAATGTGCTTGAGGAGGAATGTGCTCATTGTATATTTCACATTGTGGTGAAATCTTCATTGTTCACGTTCGCCTACTCCCGGTATTTCCGATTTTGGTAGTTTGGTTCCCCGTGGAGGGGAGGAGGGCTGCGCCGGCCAAGGAAGTAGTGCAATACCGAGGCGACACTGGCGGGTCCGAAGCAGCAAGCTACTCCATTCGACCCGCACCCGTGAAAGAAATTAGATTAATATCGTGAGGGTCGATGACCCTCGTATCAGATATTAAACTGATAAGAACAGATACTACACTTGATCTTAGCCAAAAGGCCGAGAAAGGTATACAGTTAAGGACGAACTCGGGGGTTTATAAGGGTCATCAGAAGTAGAATTCATCATCTTTGCTTATGGGTTTTACAGCGGAAAGTTGTGCTCGTAAGACAGTAACAGAAATCCTCGATACTTTGCTACGAATCTCGCAACCGTGAAGGCCGACTGCTCGAACCTTCAAAGCATTCCGTTTCAGTGAAACGTGAGTAAGGCTCCGCTGCTCTCCGAGCTGAAGAAACGGCGGCCTGCTCTAGCTCCTTGTCGTGCTTCTAGGAGAATCGGGCAACGTCAAAACTCTTGCATTGTGCATCCCGCAGAATTTGCCCGATCCCGCCAGACGATGAAGAAGAAGACGACTTGCCAGTGAGAAATCACGACTTCTAATCTACTGGAGTCATGCACCGTTAATTAACATCAGGGGGGTTCAGGACACACCTTCGTAAAAATGGAAAGTGGGCCCAGTGGATAGCAAAAAGGATGGGGAAAAAAATGTACAGCAATTGAATAATAATTTCTCCGACTTTTTAAAGGCTTATTCTTCCAGGATCTTTGATGATTTTAGGGCAAATCTTGAAAAGTCAATCCCTTTTCGTATATCCTTAACTTGGTTAAAAAAAATAATTTATGTTTCAGATATGCAGGAAGGATGTCTTTTTAAAATGTCCTCAGTGAACAAAATTTTTGCAGAATGGTTTAGAATCCAGACATTTTACGGATTGCGCTTTGATGAGCCTGGAAATATTTATCGCCTCACCCATAAGACATTACACGAGATTCCTTTAGAGGAATAGTGGTGAAAATTGAGTCCCACGATGTACATCTTGATTAAGTCCCATGGGTCTTCCAATCGAATCTATTGGATAAATTATTTCAGGTTCATGTGCAACAATAGCGACAAGAGGTTTTCATCTTTACATCTAAACAAGTGTTATATCAAGGGGCCAAGTAATTAGCAAATGACATTGAAATTTGCAAGTTATGCTATAATTTATACCTTTATAAATTTTAATTTTCATATTCATGCCTGAGGAACTACTTAAAAGATAAAAATTAAGGCGCGAGTAAAGCATAGCATAGCAAAAAGTCTGGGAGCATCATGGAGTCAGTTTTCAGAAGAGTGAAATATGGTCGGGTAAACAAAATCTTACATCTAATATTCTACTACAGTATGCACTAAGATATAAAAACGCTTTCGTCCAAAATCATATTCCATGTATGAGATAATTTCAGTGAGTGAGATTGGACCAAAAAAAACTTGCGTAAAACATCAGATAACGTTACGGAGTTACTTTGGGTTCTACTATGTAGTAAAACAATTGCCCAATCCCACCGTCTGTGCACATGTCCCACAGGCTGCGAGGCTTTGGCAGCATTACACAAGTGAAGTGATATGATTTGGATGAACGCTACAAAACAACCATTCATTTACTTTTACCGTCTTGTAAATAAAATGCTGAAGACAATACGCTTGACAACTTCATTATCATTTCTATTTTCCATATAAATAAAGCAACGCATCACTCTATTTTCAGTAATTTTAAAATCATTCTAATCCGCCCACAAAATTTGTACCAAAAAATTTTGAAAACAAGTACGCACAATTATAAATGAATCGTTCTTAGACCCTAAATTGATATCAATATACTAAGATAAGAAATATATGGTGCAGTATATACGAGTTCTGAAAATTTTTACAAAATTTGTTGTAAATATTCTCTATATTTATACCATCATTCCAATCGTGTACGAAGACGGAAAAAGGTGACGTCAAATTGGCAACTATGATTGAATATTGCGAAAACAATGAAACTCATTTTCACAAAGATGATGTGCTACAGCTTCTGCTCCATATGTTGTCATTCTCGAATTGTAGAGGGTGCAGTAAATTTGAAGTAAGTAGAGGGTGCAGAAATTTGTATCTCATTCTCTCAAATGGAAATCTGCAAAACCTTCTGGCAAAATCATTTCTGGGTCTTCAGTAATATCGGGACAGTAGTGCTGATTTAGTATCTAATGTTACAAGTGATAGGCTACGATGTCAGTCTATTTGTGAGTCCTCTTCAAGAGACAGCTTTCGCCGATGAAAATGGCATGCAGTAGAGACATTCTCACCACTTCTTACGACAGTTCATTTGCGAAATTTCAACTCAAGCAGAAAGCGTAAATATCTTATAATTTCAAACAATACTTTATGTGTATGCTTGCATACTCCTTCACTGGATGTAGATTGTCGAGCATCAGTCCAGGCATTCAAGCTTTGTACAGGCCATTTACTGCAGAAAGGTTCATTGTCTGGAGAAAATTGACCAGGCCTTCAACAACTTTTAAGCCAGAGCTCCGAGCCGTGCTCTATCAGAATTAAAATGTTAAGATTAAACTGGATGCACCGCGAGCAATGAATCTGAGTCTGTCTTTCATTGGACTCCAACTGTCGTAATATTCAAAGTATATACAAATATGAGCTGATTTTGCTCAACTTTCTCAATCTTTAGCGGCTATGTACATGTACTAAACCTCTTCGTAATGCATTGTCTACAAATCCACAAAGCTAGATGTATCCTGGAGATCCACTCCACCTGCCAAGTCTCCAAGCAAGGCCCATGGGCCATTGCTTGCCTTCCAGTTTGAAATCATAAGCAAACTCAATGTGTTGTGGCGAACTGTTCTCGGCGCCTTATCGTAATACCGTCCCAACTGAACACACGATAGAGAGGTTACATGCAGTAGTTCACAGATGTAGTAAGCCTGCCTCCGTGACATTGGGCTGAGGAACAGAGGCACATTGCTTACAACTGGTTCATCTTGTCCCCTCCGAGTGTTTGAGATCCACAATCAGCGTGTTCCTACCAAGCAGGTGGATACATGAGCTTGAATGTTTCAATAGCTTCCTCAGACTTTCGAGGATTTGGACCCCCTGTTATATCCGACGTTAGCCCGATGGACAGCTCGTTGACAAGTCCCGACACCTGAGCAAACAAAAATCTGCCCATTGCTGTGATTGTGAGGCGTATAACGTCCATGGTTACCCCCCGATCCGCTTGAACTGTGCAATAGACTCCTGAGTCTGAGTCTGGTCGGAGGACGATGAGTGGGATAGCAAGCGAACGATCTCTGCTCGGTGTTCAAACTCGCAACTCGTTAGTCTGAA